GGGGGGGAGGGGGGGGACTTGACATACGAAACCTGATAATTAGTTGTTTATGTGCACAGATGCTCTCCTTCTTTCGATGCGTTTATTAGTGGGTCCGCATGTGGTTGAGGAAGGGAGGGTGAGAAGGAGGAACAGATAGATAAAGATACATGCAGAAAGAACATTTTTTGAGTGAGTGAGGAGTGAGTGAGTGAGTTTGTTTGTGTATGTGTGGGTATGTGTATGCATAGTATGTATGTTTGTTTGTTTGCGTGCGTGCGCGCGCGCGTGTGCGTGTGAAAGAGAGAGAGAGAGAGTGGGTGAGAAAAGAGAAGTACATTGAGATAGATAAGAAAATAAAATAATAGAGAACAGACAGACAGACGAATAAATATACATTATTAGCCATGTTGTTCGTTGAAAGCTCATAATTCAGACATGATATTTCCCACTTTCCTCCCTCTCCCATACATAATGGTAGGTATCCTGATCGAGATCCTCCCAAAATATTGTCGGAGAAGAGTAAAAAACAATGTTTTTGTCATGTCTGAAGGTTATAAGTGTTTTGTCGTGTGGTCGCGTGGCGTGGTCATGTTTTTTATTTCCCCAGAAATCGTAACTGTTCTGGTGGCGTTCATGGCGATTACATCCTAGTTGATAAGTGGGATAAGTAGCCTACTTGCAGGAAGGGGTCAGTAGACGTTGTGTGTATATATATAATATGAACTACAGTGGGAGTCTTTAATTATTTTGAGGTCTTTCGAGGAGTAATCATTCTGCTCGTGGCTGCGTTGTTTGTATCAAGCTACGTTTGTTTTTACGATTGCATTGTCTTCGGTGAACGTACTGTGCTGAAAGTATTTTACTCCGATTACAGTTTTAAAAGAAATTCTTTTTCTGGCTTTGCCCCGTAACCAGTTTTTACAAGAAGTTATTGAGCTTTTGCCTTGCAGATCTTGTTTTTCCAAGGTGATCTGTACTTAATTTTTTGGACGAAAAACCAGCTGCTGAAAAAACAAAACAAACCTTTTCTTTCAGTGTGTTCTTGTTTTTAGACTTCGTTTGTGTTGGATTTGGATTCACTGTGACTTTTCATAATTTCTTTTGGACATTGAGTGCGATATTGTTCATTATAATATAGGATCCCTTTTTACTGAAAGCCCATCACCTACAGCTGATGTTCAATTAGAAATGGGTAATTATTGTGTACGCTTGATTCTAGAATTGATTTTGACTTAATTCATGACAGTTTGCCAGTATATCGGCCCTCCATCCATCCACGCATCCATCACCCATCTTTCCATCCACTCGTCCACCCATCCATCCTTCCCTCCTTCCATTCATTCATCCATCCATTCATCCATCCATCCATCCATCCATCCATCCATCCATCCATCCATCCATCCATCCATCCAGAGCGTGTGCTCTGGTGTGGTTTGCTTCTTCTTTCCTATCAAACATCTATCGTCTTTATCTACCCTCCTTCTTTTTTGTGTTTGTTATTCTCTTGTAACACCTCTAATCTTCGGCACTTATATGACCTTATAAGTGCCGAAGAACACTTACTTAAAAAATCCATCCATCCATCCATCCATCCATCCATCCATCCATCCATCCATCCATCCATCACAGAGGCTGATTTCTGAAATTGTCCAGATTTTATAATGGATTTTTGTGTATATTATTTATTAACACCTTTGTGCACGTCACATTGTCCGTTTTTTAAAGATAGTATTGATGCAAGATGTATTAGACTTAATGATCCGTCAATTTTTGAGTCCCCGTGCGGGTATTTTCACGGGGTCCGAATGGTTCGGGATTTTTTTTTTTTTGCAAAGCCAGACGGCATCTCTGAAGTCAGCTTCAGTAGCAACATTCTGGCCATCATCACCACCACCTGTAAAACAACAGCAAAAAGAACAGCAACAACCAAAACAAATACTACAACAACAACAACAACAACAACACCACCACCAGCAACAACAACAACAACAACAACAACAACAACAACAACAACAACAACAACAACAACAACAACACCAGCAACAACCACACCACCACCACCAACAACAAAACAACAAAAACGCCTCCACCATCAACACCACCACCACTACCAACACAACAGCAATAACAACACGACGACGACTACCACCACCAACAAAAACAACACCAGCAAAACAACAACAACAACAACAACAACAACAACAACAACAACAACGAAAACAACCACAACGACGATGACGACCACAATACGACCACAACGCTTCCAGCCAGGGTTTCACAATGTTCTGTTTGTGTTTTCCTCCCTCAGGTAAAGACAAAGATCAGGTGGGCCGCCTCAAGAAGCTCAGACGCCGCATCTCCGCCAGCTTTGGTCGACTCTGTAAGTTTGAACAGCTTTGCCATTTCCCTCTTTGTTTGTTTGTCTCTGGGCTGCGAGCGAAAACCTGCTCATATTTTTGCATGCATTGGCATTCTTTTTGTTTTGCTTTTTTTTTTTTTACCTCATGATTTTTTTTCC